TATGTTCTTATTATGGATAATCCTTTCTTCAGTTAATGTCAAGATCTGAGAAAAAAGGTAGTAACTTGTAAAGGTCCTAACTTGATATATGATTTAATTACTCTCAACATCTTTTTCGAAATCTGCATCATCATCCTTTATTTATCTTAAACTTATCGATAACCTGCAAGCCAATGAGTGAGATGTATAAAAAAAGAAAAACTGCCTTAATATAGCTAATATGATGTTACATTTTAATTAGGTATATTATTTTATTATTATATCAAAAATGGAATTGTTTTTATTTATCCAAGAAATCACATATTCAAAATCAATTAATTAATACTCATTAATACTCAGAAAAACGTCTAATTTTTCTAAAATTTGTGTATACCAAAGAGACAATAAATTAAAAGATTTTAATGTATATATGTATTATTAAATTGAGATATGCTCTTGACAACAAAATAATTTAGTATGTTAAACAAGTAATATATTAAACACATATATTGAGATTATAATATGACATTAATAGTAGAACACATACTTAATATGAAAATTTTTAATATGAAAATATTTAATATGAAAATTTTTATAATAATTTGAAGATGCTTTTTGTATTTAGTACTTGATATATATAATATATTTGATTTTACTTTTCACAGACTAACAGCTATTTGCAACATTTAATACTATTCATTTTAATTGTTCTTTTTGTGTGTGTTCTTTTTGATGATGGGAATTCTTCTTAGTATGTATCGTTTCGTTAAGAATTTGAATTTGTATTGCAAAAAGTATTTTAAATACGTTTGAGTTAATTATATTTTATAATTATTTTTTTTAATTATATGCAGAATGTCGCGTCTGCAATGTCAAAACGAATGTTCGATAAAGCTTTAATTTAGAAGAAATCGAAGAGAAATAGAAATCCTTGCTTCAATAGAAATATATACAGTGATATATAGTTAATTTTGTCAAATTATCAAATTATTTGCTACATTTCATTCTTTAAAGTATAAGACACAAAAATGATGTTGTTTAATGTATTATCGGTTTTAATATCTATTTCGAATTATATCTACATTCTCCTTGCTGTTGCACTATAAACTGAAATTAGAATTCGATAATTAATATTACATTTAACCAGATATTTTGCTGATTATAATTATTGAATTACTAATTCAAAGTACTTTTTTTTATATAAACGTCTGCATAATAGGATATTTACTCAAATATTATTTCCATTCAAAAAAGTTTATATTCACAAATGTAATTTAAGTAATTACTAAACATTCAGATATTAATAAAGAGAGATTTAACGAAATTAAATATTGCAATATAAAGTTAAATATTGCAATACACACACACACACACACACACACACACACACACACACACACACACACACACACACATATATATATATAT